GAGGAGATCAATCCTGACTGCTCTTTAGAAGGCCAGATCCTGAAGATGAAACTCAAATACTTTGGCCACCTAATGAGAAGGAAGGACTCACTGGAGAAGAGCATAATGCTGGGAAAGATTGAGGGCAAAAGAAGAAGGGGACGACAGAGAATGAGGTGGCTGGATGGAGTCACTGAAGCAGTAGGAGTGTAAGGATTGCCTCTCCTTCCAACTTAAGAAAGTAAAGACTCTTGAAACGTGGTAGTTAAAAAGGATCCTTTTATTAAGCAGAAGTGATAGCAACCAAGTTAAAGCAAGATCTGAATACCCTTAGGCAAGACAAGTAGGATTAAAGCAGTAGAGACCCCTCCCTTTAAATCAGAATGCAGATTTTAGCCAATACACAGTGTGAAGATGTTTTCTTTACTAGTTCCCTGTATTCACACCTTTATCCTTTAGTGTGAAACCCACATGGCTATCATAAACATTTCTCCACGTTAAGAGGATCTCAGGGCTCTTTGGCGCCAGGATATAGGTTGTAAAATATCTGTTGACACAGGCAATGCTAGTAAATCGAATCCAAGCCTCCCCCTTCTCCCAATTGATTGGCAGTATCACTCTTAGGGATCTGACATGCTACCCTCCTTAGAAAATGAAAGGGTCCACAAAATATACACAAGATTTCATGATAGTATATTAACAAGGTTTGTTAGGGTATTGGGAGTGAAATTTTCTCAATAAGGTTGGAGCCCTAACATAGTGTTTAGTGACCCATTCCTTGTGTGCTGATTGTAAATGTTTCCAAGCGACTAAGTATTGGATTTTCCCTCTGTGGGTCCTAGAGTCAAGGATTTCCTTGATTTCAAACTGTTGTTCACCTTCAATCATGATGGGAACAGGTGGTGTAGATGCAGGTGGTCTGAGGGATGAGATTACTTCTTGCTTGAGTAAACTAATATGGAATACTGGGTGGATTTGCCTGAGTGTCTTTGGAAGGAGTAGTTCAACTGCTACTGGATCTAGTGATGGGGAAAGGTCCAATGAACTTTGGCCCTAGTTTTTTTGATGGCTGTAATGATTTCAGGAATTTTGTAGATAAGTATACTCTTGTCTCCAACATGAAAAGGTTTGGGTTCCATCCTTTTCTTGTCAGCTTGAATTTTAAAAGCCTCTCTAGCTTCCTTTAAGGCTAATCTAACCACTGGCCATGTGTTTTGCAAATTATGCATCCGTTCCTTAAGTGAGGGGATGGTGGGTTCTTCTGTGGGTAGTTCAGGCATGGGACTGAAATCCTGGCCTGTCGCTATTCTAAAAGGGGTAAAACCAGTGCCTGAATGTACAGCATTATTAAACGCAACTTCAGCAAAAGGCAAAAGTTTGGTCCAGTTATCCTGTTGTAAATTAATAAAACATCTTAGATATTGTTCTAGCACCGAGTTCAACATTTCAGAATTTCTATTAGTAGACGGGTGGTGTGAGGAGCTCAATCCCTGGCCAGTACCAAGTAAGTCCAAAAATGCCCTCCAAAATTTGGAGGTGAATTGAACCCCTCTGTCGGAGATGGTCCTTTGTGGAGTTCCATGAAGTTGATAAATGTGTATTAGGAATACTTTGGCTAAACTTTTAGCAGTTGGGATCTTTTGGCAAAGTATAAAATGTGCCTGTTTTGAAAACAGGTCTGTCACAACCCAAATAACAGTATTTCCCTCACTGTTTGGCAATTCTACAATGAAATCTATAGCAATCTCTCTCCATGGTGCTGAAGGCTCAGTTACCTTCTGCAATAGACCTGAGGTTTTCCCCGACGTCTTTTTGCTGCTGCACAAATGGGGCAGCTAGCTACATAGCTTTCTATGTCCTTTTTTAGTGATGGCCACCAAAATTGTCTTTTAATTAGGTGTAAAGTTTTCACAAAACCAAAATGTCCAGCTAATTTGGAGTCGTGGCACCTTACCATTAAGCATGGTCTTTGGCTGGCTGGAACACACAACTTCCCTCCCACCCAAGCCAAGTCTTCTTTCATCAGACAGCTGGATTTATGGTTCAAAAACCATTCATCGTTGGCCAATGCTTGTTTAAAAGTTTGGGTGGTTCGTCAATGTTTCTTGTTTTGCCTGGGATCTGGTGATTACTTTAGCGGCTAGTTGATTGTTTTGTACTATGGGTTTGATTACATCTGACTTCACACTATTGTATTGCGGTTTTCTGGATAGCGCATGTGCCAGAAAATTTCCCCCCCCGGGAGGTATTTTAGAGTAAAATCAAACCGTTTAAAGTACTGAGCCCATTGTACTTGTTTTGGGGAGAGTTTCCTTGGGGTCTTTAGGGCTTCTAGATTTTTATGATCAGTCCAGACTTCAAAAGGGGTCTTACTGCCTTCTAGGAAGTGCCTCCAGGTTAACAGTGCCCAACGAGCTGCATAAGCCTTTCTCCCAAATGGCCCAGCTTTGCTCAGTCTCATTCAACTTTTTGGATATGTAAGCGCATGATTGTAGTTGGTCTTGCTCATTTTTCTGAAGCAGGACTGCTCCTATTGCCACATCGCTGGCATCTGCTTGTATGACAAATGGTTTCTCCGTGTCTGGGTGTTTTCGAATTGGTTCTGCCGAGAACAGCCGTTTAAGTTTTTCAAATGCCGCCTGGCATTCCATAGTCCAGTTCAACGGCTGCTTCGGTTTAGGGTTGCCCTCCCCCTTCGTTTTTAAGAGCTTGGTGGTGGGGAGGGCAATCTGAGTGAAAGCGGGGATAAACTGGCGGTAAAAGTTGGCAAAACCCAGGAAGCTTTGTAACTGTTTACATGTGCGTGGAGGTTCCCAATCAAGTACAGCTTGCACTTTTAGAGGGTCCATTTCTATGCCCTGGTGTGAAATGCGGTACCCCAAATAATCAATCTTTGCTTGGTGGAATTCACATTTAGAAAGCTTAGCATAAAGTTTGGCAGAGCGGAGTTGTTTAAAACCGCCCTGACTAGTTTTACATGTTCTGCTTTAGTCTCGGTATATATTAAAATGTCGTCCAAGTAGACCAGGACCCCCTTATACAAATGCTGATGTAGTACTTCATTTATTAACTACATAAACACTGCAGGGGCTCCTTGTAACGCAAAGGGGAACACCTTGAATTGGTAGCACCCGAGGGGGATGTTAAATGCCGTTTTCCATTCGTCCTCCTCCTTAATTCTGACACGGTAGTAAGCCTCCCTTAAGTCCAGCTTTCAAAAAAAATTCCCTTTAGCGAGGGGTGCTAGCATATCTTTCATAAGGAGGAGGGGGTACATGTTCTCCACACTGATCGCATTCACATTACGAAAATCAACACAGAGACATTTTGAGCCATCTTTTTTCTCTCTAAATAACACTGGAGCTGCGATTTTTGTTCGGGCTGGCTCAATGAAACCCCTTACTAGGTTTTTCTCAATAAATGTTCTCAGCTCTTCCAACTCCCTCGGTGTCATGCTGTACATCTTGGGTTTAGGGAGTTTAGCGCCGGGTAAGATTTCTATCGCACAGTCAGTGGTGCGGTGGGGAGGGAGTTCGTCTAAGGCTTTTTCGCTAAAAACTTCAGCCAAATTCTTGTATTCTATGGGTATGCCCTCAGTTGGCAGGGCGTGACCAGGCATGGCTGTTTCTCAGTTCTCTGTCCCCTCAGTTCCTTTATGTGGATTCTCAGCAAAAGTCACGTGCATCTGAAATTTTATGATGTCTTGTTTCCAACTGATTTTGGGGTTCCATTTTTTCAGCCATTCCATGCCAGGTGCCACTATAAATGTAAGCATTTCCTCGTGGCTTCAGATGCCTATATGTAGAGGCTCGGTGGCAAAAGAAGCTGGCTCCCCTCCTGCTATTGACCCATCTAGTTGGCAGAAAGCGATAGGGTTTTTCAGCTTTCTTACATTAATCCCCAACTTTCCTACTAGGGTTGGGCTGATCAAACAATGGGTGCACCCTGAGTCCACTAGAGCAGAGATATTTATCTCCCTGTCCTGGTTTGGGATAGTCTTAAGGGGAGGGTAAGCAGTTTAATTGGTTTGCTTAGCAGTGGTTCATCTTCTGGATCGCTTCCAAATGAGTGATTCCTCCTGCTGAGATGCCAGGGTTTCCTCCCCAAAGAGGGGGTGGTTCCGGGTGGGTGTTTGCAAACGACACTCTGCAGCTCGGTGCCCCTCTTTTCCACACTTGAAACAGGCTGAGGATTTCGGAGAGAATGCGGTTTGTGGTTTGAGGGGCTCTTGCTTGGGGTGGGGATTTCTTCCATGCTCGCCCCACTCGGTACTGGTTTCTGGCCATATCAATCTCGGCTTCTTCGGCGGTGACGTACCACTCATGTAGATGATTCGGTGCACCTTGGGCCACGCAGACATTGTATAGATCATCATTCAGCCCATCCTTGAAACAACTCACCAAAATATATTCCGGCCAGTTCACACGACACGCGAGGTCCCGGAATTCTTCAGTATACTCTGCTACTGGCTGTCGCCCCTGCCTCACCAGCAATCAGCACCCAGATGAACATAGATTAACTTTTAAGATTAACATCAGATCAACAATCAAGTAAACAATACCTCAATAAAGGAACTGCCAAACAAGCCAACAGTAAACAGAGGAAACAAAGAACCTCTAAGACTACCCCCTCCAGCACTGACAGGGCAAGCCATTGGAATACAAACTGAAAGCAAGCCCACTCCTTACTAGCACTGATTGGTGTTACCTAGTTTGAGTAATGAAATATCTGCAAGAAAACAATTAGGCTCAGAGAGCACCAAAAACTCCATTTAAACCCTGAGCTATAAATATTCTCTGAGTATATAAATATACTCTGTTGTTATTTAGCACTTGAACTGATAAGGTTCTTCACAAAAATACTGATCCAATTGCACTTCTACAATAAATTTCATTTTTTATTTTTAATGGATTTTTTTTGTGAAGAATTCATCTTCTCAGAAATGTGAAAGAATTCTCAGAAAAGCTGAACAGCAGATATCCAGCTTATTACCAATGAATAAAAGAGAGCACTCAGGAGCATTCTAAGTCAAATTTTCCTTTACTGACAGGTTTTCTACAATTTTATCTACTAAGCTTATGTATTATCGTCGCAATCTCAGGAAGAAGGCATGTTTGCATTCCTTACTATCTAAAGCGTAATATTTGTCATAAAAATCTAAAATATATTCCTCAGTTTTAAATCCAAACTTCTGATATAACAGCATTGCAGAATTACTAGCAGAGACATGGAGAGTTGCATCTTTTCCCATACAAGTCTGTAAAAAAGAAAAGAAAAAAAGAATTATATCAAGGTTACATGATTCCTCTTCTTAATAAGGTAAATAACTTAAGACAGTAGAAATACCAGATCCTACACTAGCTTCCATTTAACACTATTCATGTTGTTCCCTTGTAAGGAGTGAAACATTGGCACTGAAACTGAGTTCTTACTACAACATTGACAAGTAAGGAGGACAGAGAGAACTTCAGACAACTGGTAATCATTTAAGGAAACCTCAAGAATGGCACATTTGGAGAAGTGAACCATTTTTTAAAATAAACTGACATATTACTTAAAATGTTTTGGAGAGGATGTGCGGTCATGACATGTGCTTATATTAGTATGTTGGTTGTATCAGATGTTTTTGATATATGGTAGTGTTATTCTTTTCATGCCTTATATTGATTGTACTATAGTGGGTTGAGTGGTCCCATACTTTTTGATAAAGTTGTGTGAGTATCTATTTTGTTGGAAGATGTTACATAAGTGGTCTGTTTTCTTTTTCTGGTTTCTGCAATGTGTTTGTTCTTGTCTGAATAATGTATCTTACACAGCTCTTCTTGTGGGTGCCTGGGTTGTTAGTTTGATAGTGGAGCATATGGTTAGTGTGGCTGGTTTTTCAAAAGACTTGTGTTTCTAGTTTGCACCATTTCCTTTGCCGATAAGGATATCCAGAAATGGTAGTACTTTTTTTCTTCTTACCTTGTGAAATACAGTATATTCCGTTGAAGATGTTTATTTTTCATGTGTCTTCTCTAATTTTTGCATTATTATGACAAAGATATCTACATATTGGATCCATACTTTTGGTTGCAATGTGTGGGTCTGCTATTACTTTTAGAATTGCATTACAGTCCTGAAACCTTTTTTTTTACAATAATTTACATTTTGAGAAGGAACAATAAAGAAAAAAGAAAAGAAAGAAAAAGAGGGGAATAAAAGGAATAAAAGGCACATCTCTCCCTTTAAGAAAAGGATTTCCCATCATCATGACATGTGTAAACAATTTCATAATCTCTTTACCCCTTTCATTAACTAGTATGAAACTCTTCATCCCATAACCCTTAGTAATAAACAGCTCAAATAAGTAAATCTTCTCCTTATCTAATTGTTATCAAAGAATACAAGCAGAGCTCCAAAATATTAAAATCAATTAAAGAACTGTAAAAAGTCAACTTTCCATGACTTGACTATTAGCTACAGTATAGATGAAATCCTCATTTTAAAGGCACAAACACGTTCAAATCATTTAATACAAACAAAACAAACCTAAAATTTAAGATAACAAAGAGACCTTTTCCCCTTTAAAAAGACACCAGTAACTAATAACACAAACCAAATGCCAGATATTGCAGAGATCATTGTTCCAAGTAGCAATGTATTTCTTTCAGATACATATTCCATAGCTCAACTCTAACCTACTCACAAATATAAACTCATATACACATGTACATAAACATATACCATGCTTTCCCAAAAATAAGACACACCCCAAAAATAAGTCCAAGCTTAATGGGGGGGCTAATATAAGCCCTACACCAAAAATAAGCCCGGGGGATGGGCATGGCCAGCACGAGAGGCGGTGCAGGCACAGCCCACTGGCCCCTTGGGGCAGCCCATATACCGAACGCGGAGGCATGAATTGTGTCTCCTTTGCAGAAGAGTGAAGGGGAGGAGCTGTGTGTTAACCCAGCAGGAGGTGGGAAAGGTTTCACAGGCGCTGCACACGACTCTGCCCTCCACCTTCCTGGCCAGGTTCCACAGCTGAGGGGCGATAGAGCAAACAGTACACAGCTGGCAGCATGACTTTTGCCCTTCTCTTTCTGGGTGCGGCGCTTCTGCTTGTTGGGCCACTTCCCTGAGCACAGAGCTGGAAAGCAGGTTAGTGAAGGGATGTAGCTGCCCTGGGGGTTGGGTGGGGTGTGTGTGAGGGTTTGGCATGGGTGGCCTGGCTGAAGGGCCTTCAGGTAAGCCGGTGCAGGGCATGTGGGGCAGCTCTGCACCCCCTGCCTTGCTTTGTCCTCCACCCTCACAACACCTCACTTCATTCTTCGCAATGTGCAGCCTCTCACAGTAACGAGAATTGCAGGCACAATTGCTTCCCACAATCTTCCAGAATTGCCTGCAATTCTCGTTACTATGAGAGGCTGCATGTTACTTCTGGGCAGAGGAGGCTTGGTCCCCTTATTTGGTTCCCCTTTGCCGTTTCTCTTTCTCTCTCTGTCTCTCTCACACAGAGAGACATTTGATCGCTTGAACTGCTGCACACTTTTCGCCAAGAGGGAAATGAAGCAGGCGAAAAGTGTTTAGGTGCCTGATAGGCTCTGGCCTGCATTGTCAACTGTTTGGGCTGCTGAGTGCCGGCCTGCACACTACAGCTACGCTGAGCCCAGTGCTCTTCGGGCCCTGGCCCTGGTGGCCGCTGCAGCTCTCATGCGTGGATGGCTGGTGCAAGCAGATGCGAGGCGTGTGGGGTGTATTGCTCAGCCTCCTGGGCTTTTTGTGGCCACAATTACACAGCAGAAGTGGCCTGGTGGCCAGGGTCATTGGAGCAGCCTCCATTTTGTGTGGGTGGCTGGTGCGACCATTAGGTAAGTCGGTGAGAGGCGTGTGGGGAAGCTCAATTCCCCCTGCCTCATACCAGAACACGGGGGGGGGGCAGATTAAGACACCCCCCCAAAATAAACCCTAGCCATTTTTTCAGGGGTCAAAAGAAAATAAGACCAGGTCTTATTTTTGGAGAAACACAGGTACATAACATACACACACACACCTAAAAACCTAACAGCTAGTTTTTCCACTGAAATAAAATTGCACAATTAGATGCTAAGCTTTTAAATACTAAACAATTTAGGTTATGGTTTGTTACAGTCAGCCAGATGTTCAAACTAGATTTGGAATTTTTATCCACTTACTGAGTCCTTCACAAGGACCTGGGATAGACAGATGTAGATGTTTAATTGTGTTAAAGTTATCATTGCAGGATATAAGCTGTTCTAAGTAAAGCCACCTTTTGTAATTGAATGATGGGGGTATTATTATTATTAAGATTATTATGGTTCATTATATAAACTGCCAGATGTTTAGACGTCAGAAAAGGTCTTTGCAGCCAAGAAAATAGCTCCAGATTGACACATGCAGCGCCCCCTGACCTCCGATTCGCTGTCAGAGGCCTTCAGGAAAGACCTCAGCAGCTGAGAAACAAGCTCTGACAGTGCCTCTGATGGCGAAATGGAGGTCGGGGGGCACTGCTCATGTCAATCCAGAGTTTTTTTTTTTTTTTTTTTTAAATTTGATTTATATGCCGCCCTTCTCCGAAGACTCAGGGCGGCTTACAATGTGCTCAGCAATAGCCTTCATCCTTTTGTATATTTATACAAAGTCAGCTTATTGCCCCCACAACTGGGTCCTCAATTTACCTACCTTAGAAAGGATGGAAGGCTGAGTCAACCTTGAGCCTTGGCGAGATTCGAACCCTGCAGTAATTGCAGGCAGCTGGTCTTAATAACCAGCTTAATAACAGGGTGCCTTAAACCCCTGTACTACCAAGGCTCTTTCTGGGAGAGGCCTTTTCCGAAGGCTTCTGACAGCAAAATGGAGGCCAAGGGGCGCTGCATGTGTCAATCCAGAGCTCGTTTCTCAGCCTCTGAAGGCCTCTGACAGCGAAACAGAGGCTGGGGGCAACACGTGCAAGTGGCTCACCCCACCCCGTGCAACCAGGTGCAACAGAGTGAGTGGGGTCTTAATTAGGGCTTATTTTGGGGTAGGGCTTATATTGGGCACATGTGAAAAAAATCAAGCTAGGACTTATTTTTGAAATAGGTCTTATTTTCAGGGAAACACGGTAGTTTGGGTAATTAAAAATCTGCAAGAAAAAAATCAAGCTGAGAGCACCAAAGACCCCTCATTTCAACCCTGAGCTGCAAATATTCTCCTCTATCGGTATTTTTTTCAGGTGCTACATCAAGGCCTAAAAGCAAAATAAAAAATTAGCTAAACAGCCTCCTTAATTTTGAAAAAGCTGAACAATGAGTAAGTCACACAAGCACAGATTTATTACTTGAATAAATGAATATTTGAATTTGCAATTAAATTAATTAAGTCATATTTCTCAGGATAACAGAATCATTTCAAAGTACCTGAATAAGATGATATATCATAAAAGTTGCAATCCCTGATCGTCTCCACTCAGGATGAACGAAAAGGAAAGAGATATATGCTTCATTATATTTGACATCTGGCACCATGAAACCAAAAGCAACTATAACTTTTTTGTAAAGAACGACAACACTGAAATCTGGATACTGCAGGCATTCTGACAGATCAATCCCTATAAATAATGAAAAAAGGAAACTGCAAACAATGACATATTCATATTCATGATGGAAATAATTACATGTTAATGAATCATATAAAAATAACTATATAAAAAGATATTTTCCAGGTGGTAACTATAAATCAAATTAAATATATATATTTAATTTGATTTATATGCCGCCCTTCTCCGGAGACTCAGGGCGGCTTACAATGCGTTAAGCAATAGCCTTCATACTTTTGTATATTTATACAAAGTCAGCTTATTGCCCCCATAAACTGGGTCCTCATTTTACGTACCTTAGAAAGGATGGAAGGCTGAGTCAACCTTGAGCCTGGTGAGATTCGAACTTACAGTAATTGCAGACAGCTGGTGTTAATCACAACGCTTTTAGTCTGCTGAGCCACCAGGCCTATTGCAGCAAAGATATTTTAAATATCAAAATCTAACATAAATGTGGATGACAGTCCATTTCATTAGAAGCATAGTATTGGTAGACGTTATCAAGGCCAAGTGCTATGAGTGTTTGAAGTTATGATGGTGCTGAAAAAATAACTTCAAAACTAAGGTGTGCACTTATAACCTTTGCAGCATCTCTCTCAGTCACATGTTCATCATTATAGTCAGTTACTACACTTTATCCTATGCCTGAACAGGGTTTTTTTTTTTTTTCATTCTTGCAGAGTGGAGAGATTGCTTAAACAAACTATCTTTCCTGTGTCTAACCCTTTTTTTCTTCCTCCATTCACAGAACACAATGGAGAGGAAGAGGCTGGGAGCCATGAGCATATTAGGCAAACAGCTGGCACTAGCACATTCTTTCAATATGTATCCCCCATTGTGGGCTGCTTACACTCATTCGCTTAATCTAAAACAAATGCAAATGCAAACATTAATTGCCTTCTGGCTAATTATTTCAAGGCCACAATGAACATTCCAAAGGGCAGGGGAATAGGGAGAAAGGAAAGCTGAAATAAAATTGAAAACCCAGTTGTGGTTTGTGGTTTTCCAGTCCTAACTATGATTGCTAAACAAGGACTACCTGCATCTAATCATATAGACTGTGGTCAATATAACCTATTAAGTGTGCTAATCTTCAAGAAGCAACAAGACAGTTTTTATTTTAAAAATAGTCCGAGTTACTGGGAGTTAATAAAAAAAGCATTACCCATATGTAATTACGAATATCTTCTATTAAATAAAATAGTTTTCAATAAAAGTACAAAATACTGCTTTAGTTTTGCCACAAGTTCATGAATTTTTTTTGTACGTTATCATACTCCATCAACTTTTTTAAACAGCATTCAAGCATCATACTGACTTCTTTTAAATGGATTTTTATTTCTGGCCCACATATGAAGGATGGACTACAGGAATATTCTCCTGTTATAAAATTGTTTATAATATTCTCTGGCAGATAGACTCTGGAGCCAAAGGCCATACTTTATGGTGTTTGTTCTGAAGTGACTGGCAAGCATGGACGGTCTAATTTATGAAGCCAAGTGTCAATTAGTAAGACTTCTATTCCTAGGATGCCCATGTGTGGCTGCTCCCTGACCAAAGAGGTGGCAATAAATGCCAATGTGATCGACTTCCCTCCCACATCGTGATTCACGATGAAATGTGAGACCTGCTTGACTTGGTCTCCTGGTTTGTATGCCACAAATGGGTCATTTCTCTGGTTTCTAGAGCAAATACATCCTAGGTGCCCTGGTGTATATTGAGGTAGTGTCAGACAAAAAGGGTAACGAGCACAAACTTTTGCAACCTATAGTCCTATAGTATTCTGAATTCACTTGGAATTAAAGCATGAGGCTATTCATAGGGCAACCAAATCCATATGGAACACCAGTAGATCATTGGTGGGATTCAAATTTTTTTTACTACTGGTTCTGTGGGAGTGGCTTGGTAGGCGTGGCATGGCATGGCTGGGTGGGCGTGGCAGGGTAAGGATAGTGTAAAATCTCCATTCCCACCCCCCTCCAGGGGAAGGTTACTGCAAAATCCCCATTTCCTCCTGATCAGCTGGGACTCGGGAGGCAGAGAATAGATTGTGGGGGGAGGGCAGTCAGAGGTGGTATTTACTGGTTCTCCAGAACTGGTCAGAACCTGCTGAATACCACCTCTGCAGTAATGCTCCTATTCTATTCTATTCTATTCTATTCTATTCTATTCTATTCTATTCTATTCTATTCTATTCTATTCTATTCTATTATTCTATTCTATTCTATTCTATTCTAACTATTCTGCTCTCCTAGTTGACATAACTGATATCAGGAAGTTACTGTGTTTCCCTGAAAATAAGACAGGATCTTATTTTCTTTTGAACCCTGAAATAAGGGCTTGGCCTTATTATCGGGGAGTCTTATTATTTCAGGGGTGCAGGAGGACCCGTGTCCCTCCTGGTTGGTGCTGGCTTCCCAGGCGATTACACGAGGCTGGCTCCAGGGGATTATTAACGCTTCTTTGAGTGAGGGTTTCTTTCCTGCCGCTTTGAAAGAGGCGGTGGCGAGGCCCCTCCTCAAGAAGCCTTCCCTGGACCCGGCTGTTTTATCAAATTATCGTCCTGTCTCCAACCTTCGTTTTGTGGCGAAGGTTGTTGAGAGTGTGGTGGCACGACAGCTTCCTCAGCACCTGGCTGAAGTGGATTATCTGGATCCGTTCCAGTCGGGTTTCAGACCTGGGTATAGAACGGAAATGGCATTGGTCGCATTGGTCAATGACCTCTGGAGGGCTCGGGACAGGGGCTGTTCCTCTGTCCTGGTCCTGTTAGATCTCTCGGCGGCTTTTGATACCATTGACCATGGTATCATGCTGCGCCGGCTGGAGGGGTTAGGAGTGGGGGGCACCGTTATGCGGTGGTTCGCCTCCTTCCTCTCCGGCTGTACGCAGTCTGTGTTGGCAGGGGGGCAGAGGTCGACCCCAAGGTGCCTAATCTGTGGGGTGCCACAGGGGTCGGTCCTCTCACCCCTCCTGTTCAACATTTATGTGAACCCGCTTGGTGAGATCATCCGTGGCTTTGGGGTGGATTTCCATCAGTACACTGATGATACTCAGCTGTACATTTCCACCCCGGGTCACCCCAATGATGCCCTTGAAGTGATGTCCCGGTGCCTGGAAGCTGTACGGATCTGGATGGGGAGGAACAAGCTCAGACTTAACCCTTCCAAGACCGAGTGGCTGTGGTTTCCGGCGTCCCGTCATAGTCAGTTGACTCCATCACTGACTATTGAGGGTGAGATCTTGACCCACTCAGAGAGGGCTCGCAACTTGGGTGTCCTCCTGGACTCGCAGCTGTCCCTGGAAGACCATCTGACGGCTGTGGCCAGAGGGGCTTTTTATCAGGTTTGCCTGATTTACCAGTTGTGTCCCTTTCTGGATCGTGACTCCTTACGCACAGTCACTCATGCCCTCGTCACTTCCCGTCTGGACTATTGCAACGCTCTCTACATGTGGCTCCCCTTGAAGAGCACCCGGAGGCTCCAACTGGTCCAGAATGCGGCCGCGCGGGTAATCACGGGAGTGACCCGACGCTCCCATGTAACACCACTCCTGTGTGAGCTGCACTGGCTCCCGGTGGTCTTCCGGGTGCAATTCAAGGTGTTGGTTGACACCTTTAAAGCGCTCCATGGCATGGGCCCTGGGTATCTACGAGACCTCCTTCTGCCACGGATAGCCTCCCATCGACCGGTACGCTCCCACAGAGACGGGCTCCTCTGGGTGCCGTCAGCTAGACAATGCCGGCTGACAAGGGGGGAGAGCATTCTCTGTGGGGGCCCCTACCCTCTGGAATGAGCTGCCCCCGGAGATTCATAGGATTACCGACCTGCGTACCTTTCGCCATGCCCTAAAAACATTACTATTCCAACAAGCAGGGCTGGCCTAAATAATAATAATATTTTTACTGTTTTAATGGGTTGTTTTATTAGAATTTTCAGCCAATTGATTTAATTGTTTTAACTTGTTTTTAATTTTTCTATTGTCATGGTTTTATTTCTGGCTGTACACTGCCCTGAGTCCTTTGGGAGAAAGGCGGTATAGAAATTTAATAAAATGAATTTAATAAAATAATACAATAAATTTAGCAATGAGACTTGCAGATATTTTTTTTTAAAGAGAGAAATAAGAAAGGAATGGAAGCACAAAATTATTCTGAGGCAAAAATTCCAATTTCCATTCTAAATCTATCCCCTACATCTGTCAAAACCTTTTAAATTGCTACTTCTGGTATCACCACTGAGTTAGTGGAAGACCTCAGTCCACCAAGTGATTCAGTCAATCAAATGCAGTATTTAGATCAGGAACGATTGGCTAGCTCTGATCTAGTAAAATCCTACCTGGCCAGAAGAACTCATGGCACAATGAATTAATGGTCGGGATGTGATTAGGACGCACGTAGCAATAATCAATGGGGGCTTCTGGTTCAGCAGTCCAGCCTGGATCATTCTTATGATAATGAGCTCGTATTTCCATCAGCAGCTGAAGCTTTGGGGGCTTGTTCTCATAATCGCGTCTAGAGGAAACAATTGAAAAAACTAAGTTAAATACCTTGTTTCCCCAAAAATAAGACCTACCCCAAAAATAAGCCCTAGTGAAGATCATCATCAGCCTGAGGGGTGGGTGTGGCCAGCACCAGAGGTGCTTGGGGCCAATGGTGTCTGGCAGCAGCAGCAACCTGCACAGCGCCGGTGAATTGATTACCTGTCCCAAGCAGCAGGTGGAGGCAGAGGCCGAGAGAGCCAGGCGATCTGGACGAACCACGTGGGCCATGGAAAAGCTGGGTCAGTGGGCTGGAGTGGGCAGCCAGCTGCAGGAGGCTTGTCTTCGCACAGCTGACTGGCAGAGGTGCAGTGGGAAGGCACGCAATCCGGATGTGCCGCATGGGCCACAGACAAGTAGAGAGATGCGAAGACAAGCCACCCACAGCCTCCCGCCCACTCTGTCCGTCTCTCGGTTTGCCTGATAATACATACATACATACATAATTACATACAGTATTACGTGCCTCCTATGCACCTCTGTCTCTGTTTGCTGCCGATGCTGCCACGTGAAGATGAGCCTCTCGTGGCCGCCCACCTACTCCAACCGACTCTCATCTTTCCTGTGGCCCGTGCAGCGCCTCCGGAATGCATGTCTCCCCCCTGCACCTCTACTGCACCTCTATCAAAGCAATTTGATTACTGCTTGGACAGGTAATTAAATCACCTGTGCTGCACGGGCTGCATAGCCCCAGAGTGCAGCAACCAAGGGGCTAGCAGGCTGCAGCCAGACATCGGCCCTAGCACGCTTTTTTTGTTTTTTGATTTGATTTATATGCCGCCCTTCTCCGGGACTCAGGGCGGCTTACAATGCATTAAGCAATAGCCTTCATACTTTTGTATATTTATACAAAGTCAGCTTATTGCCCCCACAAACTGGGTCCTCATTTTACCTACCTTAGAAAGGATGGAAGGCTGAGTCAACTTTGAGCCTGGTGAGATTTGAACTTGCTACCTTTTGTGCGCACATGGGGAGGGCACCAAGCTGATCACTCTGAAATCATGTTTCCCCAAAAATAAGCTCTAGTGCTTATTTTGTAGCCCCCCCCCAAAATATCTAAGATTGGGTCTTATTTTCAGGGAAACACGGTATAAGTAGATCGAAGTAGATCAAAACGGTATTTCACAGAAATATGTTTCAAAGGGATACTGGAGGTCTTTTGGACCAATCCCCTTCCCAGGAAAGAAATATTTATCCTATATTAGACAAATGGCTATCCAAACTTTGCTTGAATTTTTTCAGCAATGGAACTCTCATGGCTCAGGCTGTTTTACTGCTTAACAGTTTTCACAGTAAGGAAATTCTGCATTATTCCAACTTTGAACTTCCAGCTGTAAAGTGTCGACCACTGTTTCCATACTAATTTCAGAAGCTATAAAAAATAAAGCCAGACACTCTTTTCTGTGATAGCTCTTCAGCTATTGGAAGATGGCTGCCATGTTCCTCTTTAACCTTCTCTTCTGTAGGTATACGAGTAGGAATACACTCCAAAATTAAATTAATGAAATATGGCTAATATAACTTTTGATTAATTATTTTATATGTATACCTACATGCATGAATGTGTGTGTGTGTGTGTGTGTGTGTGTGTGTAAAAATTAAACATCTACTAGCACCTTCAGATTTCTGGGATGTAATTCATTCGATACTGGTGATCTTAACTCATCTACAGTGGAGTGGTGTTCTCTTACCATTTTCTTGCCTATTTTGATTTGTATTCCTTTACGGTACTGGTTTTGATAGTTTGGACTACTTTTTCCTTTGTGTAGAGACTGATGCAAAGAATGAAGTTAACAATTCTGCTTTCTCCCTTCTGCCTGTCATTTCCCTGTCATCTTCTCCGTTAGTGAAACAATTGTTTCCTTAATATTTTTTTCTTTTTGTTCTTACATGTTAAAACAAACTTTTAAAATTATTTTTGGCATTTGTTCCAACTTTTAGTTCATTCTGAGCCTTAGCTTTCCTGACTTAGTCCTTACAGATTTGAGCTATTTGCTGGTATTCTGTTTTAGTTATATATCCCTTTCTATTTTTTATACTAGTCCTTGTTTCTCTCCAGTTTGTCAGAAATTTCTTTATGCAAACCTACTGTTTTCATCTGGGGTCTCTTGTTTTTATTTTATTTCTCTGAGGTATTGTATTGAGTTTTTATAATCTCATTTTTCCAATTTTCCCAGCATCTTGAATTCCTCCCACCCCCCTTTTTAGGATATCTATCTGTGAAATCCTTCCTAAACTCTTAAATTTATTGAAGTCAGGTCTCTTAAAGTCTAAGACAGTAGTTTTATTTTGTTTGATTACATTATGAATTATGTCGAATTTCAGTATGACTTAGTCACCTTCCCCCAAAGTTCCTGCAACTTCAACCCCATTTCATCTCTGTTAATAACAAATAAGTCCAGTGTAGCTGACCCTCTAGTTCCCTCCTCTATCTTTTGGATGACAAAGTTGTCAGCTAGGCTTATCAGAAACTTGTTTTCCTTGACTTTTTTAAAAACATGTTGAAAGAAAATTTGTTATTGTTTTTGACATTTATTTACAAGTCTTTGTTCATTGTGAGCTTAGTTTTTCATCTTTACAAATTCAGGCTATATGCTTATATTCTGCTTTAGTTATACAGGTGAAACTCGAAAAATTAGAATATTGTACAAAAGTTCATTTATTTCAGTAATGCAACTTAAAAGGTGAAACTAAATATGAGATAGACTCATTACATGCAAAGCAAGATAGTTCAAACCTTGATTTGTCATAATTTTGATAATTATGCTTATAGTTAATGAAAACCCCAAATTCACAATCTCAGAAAATTAGAATATTGTGAAAAGGTTCAATATTCTAGGCTCAAAGTGTCCCACTCTAATAAGCTAATTAAGCCATAACACCTGCAAAGTGTTCCTGAGCCTTTAAATGGCCTCTCAATCTGGTTCAGTAGGAATCACAATCATGGTGCAGAAAACCATCATTGACACCCTCCATAAGGAGGGAAAGCCTCAAAAGGTAATTGCAAAAGAAGTTGGATGTTCCCAAAGTGCTGTATCAAAGCACATTAATAGAAAGTTATGTGGAAGGGAAAAGTGTGGAAGAAAAAGGTGCACAAGCAGCAGGGATGACCGCAGCCTGGAGAGGATTGTCAGGAAAAGGCCATTCAAAAGTGTTGGGGACTTTCACAAGGAGTGGACTGAGGCTGGAGTCAGTGCATCAAGAGCCACCACACACAGATGGATCCTGGACATGGGCTTCAAATGTCATATTCCTCTTGTCAAGCCACTCCTGAACAACAAACAATGTCAGAAGCGTCTTACCTGGGCTAAAAAAAAAAAGAACTGGTCTGTTGCTCAGTGGTCCAAAGTCCTCTTTTCTGATGAGAGCAACTTTTGCATCTCATTTGGAAACCAAGGACCCAGAGTCTGGAGGAAGAATGGAAAGGCACACACTGCAAGATGCTTGAAGTCCAGTGTGAAGTTTCCACAGTCTGTATTGATTTGGGGAGCCGTGTCATCTGCTGGTGTTGGTCCACTGTGCTTCATTAAGTCTAGGGTCAATGCAGCTGTCTACCAGGAGATTTTGGAGCACTTCATGCTTCCTTCCGCAGACGAGCTTTATGGGGATGCTGACTTCATTTTCCAGCAGGACTTGGCACCTGCCCACACTGCCAAAAGTACCAAAACCTGGTTCAATTACCAGGGGATAACTGTGCTTGATTGGCCAGCAAACTCGCCTGACCTGAACCCCATAGAGAATTTATGGGGCATTGCCAAGAGAAAGATGAGAGACATGAGACCGAACAATACAGAAGAGCTGAAAGCCGCTATTGAAGCATCCTGGTCTTCCATAACACCTCAGCAGTGCCACAAGCTGATAGCATCCATGCCACGCCGCATTGAGGCAGTAATTGATGCAAAAGGGGCCCAAACCAAGTACTGAGTACATATGCGTGCTTATACTTTTCAGAGGTCCGATATTGTTCTAGGTACAATCCTTGTTTCATTGATTTCATGTAATATTCTAATTTTCTGAGATTGTGAATTTGGGATTTTCATGAGCTGTAAGCCATAATCATCAAAATTATGACAAATCAAGGCTTGAACTATCTCGCTTTGCATGTAATGAGTCTATCTCATATATTAGTTTCACCTTTTAAGTTGCATTACTGAAATAAATGAACTTTTGCACGATATTCTAATTTTTCGAGTTTCACCTGTATGTCCCTCTTTCTATTTTTTATACTTGTCCTTTTTGTCTTACAATTTGAGAGTTTTTTATGCAACCATGCTGGTTTTTTCTGGGCTCCTTTGTATTTCTTTCTCTATGGTATTGTGCTAGACTGGGCTTTTATAATCTCATTTTTCAGAGTTTTCCAAACTTTTTGATTTCTTTTTTCCTTCAAGATTTCCATCCAGGAAAACCTTCCAAAGATCTAAGTTATTGAAATCCGCCTTCTTACAGTATAAGACACTAGTTTAACTTTGCTCTGTTGCTTCTTGTCTGCATTATGTTGACTTCCAAAAATCACATGGTCATTCTCCTCCGAAGTTTCGCCGCTAAATTTAACCCCGGCTTTCATCTCTGTTTGTGAGAATTACGTCCAGTATCTCTGACCCTCTCATTTTTAGTAAGACAATTTTAATAGGATAATTTTTCTAGAGAGAGATGCATTGTTTCCCAGGTGCAAAGATTAAAGATATAGCAAGGAGACTTACTAAAATAATGAAGCTGATAGATTATTATTACTTTCTCCTCTTTGATGTTGGGATGAATAATACAACTAATAGCCTGAAAACCATTTCAAGGGACTACAAGCAACTAGGCAGAAAAACAAAGCATCTGGGAGCACAAGTAATAGTCTCATCTGTATTTCCAACAAAAAGTCAAGATCCAATGAGGGAACAAAGGATTCTAAAAGTAAACTACTGGCTCAAGGGATGGTGCCACAAAGAGAATTTTGGATTTTTATACCATGTTTTACATTACCTA